ACTAAGGTATTATAGAATTAGCCACTAAAGGTCCTTTAAGTTATACTGGTTTAATTAATGCGAATTAAACCTTTTATAGATAAGTTTCTAGTTTCACCTACTTAATGTTCTATCTGAAAAGTATGTTTTTGAACGAGAAAACGGTTTACTGAATTTGTATGCTATGACCTGACCCATACCTGTTACTCCCTATGATTACTTGGTGTATACAGGATATAAATATAGCTAAGATCGAATGGATAGTAGATTGTATGAATCTGCTCTAAGCCCACAACCAAACAAGGAACAAGAAATGAAGCGGAAAGCACACATCCTACTGCCTATCGGATCCTATTAATATATATCCATAATGTATCCACTAAGGAATCATAAAGTTAGCATTATAGGCCCCCTTTTTACTGAATGTTCATGTTACTAGGAAGTTATGTGGTGTTGTTCTATTTGTTAGGAAGACTACTAGAAGTAATGAAATCATGTACTCTAAATGCCTCAGTCGATACTGTTGTGAGTTTTATATATTGCTATGTTTTATTTATTACTGTCCGGTACTTTGTAGATGTACCCTTTTTTAAATAAAATATGATACTTTGTTGATGTACATGTACCCCATATATAACTCCGGTATTTTGTAGATGTACCCCATGTATAACCCGGTACGTTGTAGATGTACCCCATATATATATATATATATATATATATATATCCTTATACCTTGTATATTATCATATTTGTTTTAAACAATGAGTTAATGATACGTTCCCTTCCTAGGTTACTGGGAGTGTAAAGTATAAGTTCGTGAATCATGATTTGTTCCTCTGTTATAGAATATAGTATGTTCCTTCCTGTTCTTGTTATAGTATGTTCCTTCCTGTTCTAGTTATAGTATGAACTGAACCCTTAAACTATACCTATTATAGTTTACTAGTATGCTTGTTTGAACTGTTACTGACTTGAAGAAAAGACTCAATTACATACTGAGTTAAGCATGTACCTTAAAAAATGGAGTTTTATAAACAACAAACTAACATCTTTTTAAAAGAGTTTTTGAATTGATTTGATCACTTACAAAAGAATAAGAAATCCTTTAATGTGATGATTATCACAGGTAAATATTAACACAATAATATTGTGTTCAAATTGTATTCCCCCCATAAAAGCATTTAAAAACATTTAAAAGATAGATTATAGGGGTATGAACTCACCTTATGTGGGTGATTCAACTGAAGATTCGAATAAGGATGATAAGTTCCATGAATGAAGTCCCGAGACACAAACGAGTCCTAAATGACATATAATGATACATATTGGCATGTGATTAGTGAATCTAACTACAAAGGAGATTGGGAAACAACCTAGGATGCAAGAATAACTCACCGAAGGAGTGTTAGAAGCAAGATAGGTGGCTGATAGGGTGTTCACGACCCAAAGGAAGGATGGTTCACGGCCCAATGGAGTTCACGGCCCAAACTGATGGGTGTTCACTGCCCACTTGATGAGTGGTTCACGGCCCACTTGAGTGGTTCACGGCCCAAGTTTATTTTCACGGCCAACTTGATGAAGAACACTTGAAGATCTTGGTGTTTTGGTGAGTGTTTGAAGATCCTAGTAAGCTTCTATGAAGTATCAAAGGAAAGGGGGTGTTTAGGAGTGAAAGATGGTGTTCTTGAACTATGATACTTGAGAGAGAATGGAGTGATTGCGGCCAAGAAAAGAAGAAGTGAAGGAAAAGTGGCTAAAACTCATCTATATACCATGAGTTCACGGCCTAAGAGGGGTTCACGGCCGTGAACATGGTCCTTGGCCGTGAACCTCACTTGTTGAGGTTTTATGGCTCAAATGTTGTTCTAGGCTCTTGGTTCTTACGTGGTTCACTTCCTAACACGCAACCCTTACGTATACTAGGCTTAGAACTCATTAAAATGACCCTTAACAAGGCTAAAAGGTAATAGAATCAAGTCTGACTTTTGATTGATTGAATTGACTTTACAAGATAGAAATTTACGGGTTGTCACAATTTTGGCAATTAAGTCGCTCTGAAATCCAGCAAGCCTATGTGGTCCTTCAAACCAGATTCCCCGTACCGAAAGCAATCAAGAAGTAGTGTAATTATTAATAATATTTTTATTAGGAGCCTGTAGCATATTTGTATTTCCTCTTTCAAGGATACGAGTTCTCTATAGCAGACTTAGCTCCGATACCAATCTGTCACACCCCTGGCCGAGGCGGCTAAATATGTCGGGTTGTGCGACTTAGTTCATGGATCACTAGCAAATTGAATATACATCACAAGTTACAACAATAACGACACAACAGTTACATTCCACTTTAAGGTTTGAATACAAGGCTTATACAAATAATAATAAGCTCATAAGTTTGCCTTAACAAGTAGGATCATATAACAAAAACTAGATAAAACTAGGTTGCCCGAAATCCATGAACAGTTATCCTGCTAAAAGCTGGTTCAATGGTCTCCGGAGAATACATGAAGTTTGAGGGTCAACACAAAGGTTGGTGAGAGTTACAGGTTTGTTGCTAACCGCAGTGAAGATACTTTTAAAAATTTTGAAAAGTATTTCTTTTGTAGACAAAACCATGTTCGAAAATGTTTGATAAAATGAGATAATGAATCTGTGGTTTCTAGATAAATATTTAAGTTAATGCTTATAGTGATTCCTATAACCGAGCTATGTAACTAGATATAACCCCTTATGACGCTTCATTAGACGTCGTGGATAAAGACTGAAGATAATTATCACCCACTTTGATTGATCCGTCGAGGTAATAGCTAGAAACCGCACATGTGGGTCTCGACCCGTATAGATCTATACATACGTATCTCGCTCCGAGGATTAACGATTATAGCCGAGAGGGTATACTAAGTAGTTAAACTTAGGTAATGAATAATACATCACTATAAAGGCCATTAACTAAGGTGTACGATATAGTTTCACTATAAAAGTCGAGTAATTTCGATATATCAAAAAAAGTGTGTTTTACTTGCTTAAATAGATAGTGAGTTTTCTAGAGAGTATGTATAAATTCCAAGGTATAAATGTTATAATTCATACATATATGTTTAACATACGTGTTTGTACACGCATGATATAGGTCTAAAATATTTACGAGGTTTATAACATTTTTAAACCATTACAACATAAGCATGTCATGATCAAATTAGTCTATAACATATTATTTTGACATAATATTAAATATAATTAGATATACGTTTTTGTAAGCACATTTCGTAACCGATAAATATGGTTCATAAGTAATCTCCACCACAATAATAAAAAACTTAAAAAGGGGCCGTAAGCACTCACTTTGTAGAGTGAACTATGTTTGTGGCATGAAACTTGTTGTGAGAAACCGCTACATGACGTTCCTTGTGTTTAAAACGAACCATCGGGTCTATTTATGTTACCTAATAAAAGCAAATGGTAGTTTTGGTATTAATTACTAAGTATGGGGGTGGTTTTGCTAAAATAATTATTTATAGGGACTGTGTGTGTTAAACGTAACAAAGGAGGGGTTAAAGTAATTATTTTAAACCAAAGTTTGGAGGAAAGTGACTTAATCTGTAAACAATTAGCAAGGAGGGGGTTAAACTGTTTATTTTAATTCCAAGTTTGAAAGGAGGGACTGAGTTGTAAAATCAGTAAGGTTTGGGGTGAGTTTTAAATAAAATTAAACAATGTTTGAATAGTGTCATCTTGTTCCTCCCGGTTACGATTTCACGCAGAGAAACAAAAACGAGACCCACGTACAAAGGCTTCATCGTCGTCTGATCAAATTCAAACTCCACAAAATCAAAACAGATAAAACGATAATGGAGGTGATTGATTACTCACATTGGTGTGGTCGGAATTACACATCAATGGCGGCAATGGGAGGTGAAAATGGTGGAAGTGGGCGGTGATGGCGAAGCTGCAATGGCAGCGGGTGGCTCCGCCGCTTCCTCTCTCTTCTGTTAGATGGCTCGGCGAGTAACAGGTGGAAGGCAGCAGTGGCGTTGGAATGTTTGATGGTGGTGGGTCATGGCAGGGGAGGCGGAGGTGCTGCCACACTCGGCTGTGGTGGCTCTCTTCACCGGAGAAGTGACAAATGAGAGAGAGAGAGAGAGAGAGAGAGAGAGAGGCAGGAGGGAGTGTTTGGGCGGCATTTTTTTGCCAAAACAGTGGGGGAATAAGGTGGAGTTTATGATGGTTTGTGGTGGTGTTTTACGGTGGTTCTTAGTGGCGTTTCAAACCAAGAAAGTAAGAGAGTGAGAGAGTGAGGTTGTGTTTTTGGTAAGTAACGGAGGTGTCAATGGTTACATTTTATAACCAATTGATCATGACCAAGAAGATGGAAGTTGTGGACGTGAGTTTTGGGTCCTAAGGGAACAATTGACAAGTATCTTGGTCACTTCCACCAACTGTGTTTGATTTCTTGGTCAAGTAACAAGCCTCTACTACACATATCCTCAATTGTAAGGGTTTGACCTCTCATAAAAGTCAAAGTAAAGGGAGGGGATAGAGATATAAGGGGAGAGATACGGGGAGAGAGGGGGGAGAGATAGAAAGAGACGATTGTAAGGGTTTGACCTCTCATAAAAGTCCAATGTAAAGGGAGGGGATAGAGATATATGGGGAGAGAGGGGGGAGAGATAGAAAGAGACGTTGGTGAGTGGAGATAGAAATGGCTGGAACACATTTTTCTTATATAGTGTAGGCCTAAAAGTGCAATTTCATCGTCTCTAAATATTATTAAAAGAGAACCTTAAATTCTCTACTTAAGAAATCAGGGCCATTCATTGCATTTCAATCCTATATTCTACACCTTAGATCATTTGCTGACATCATCGTCCTTACACCCAAAACCCCGTTGTGTAATGTTGCCTTCCGTTCGTTGTCATTTACTCTCTGTCTCTTCTTCCTATCTAACGTTAAGAAACAGGTAAACCATTCGCTTCTACTTCTTTGTCTAAATCTTATAGACCGATCACTCCATTTCGTCCTCCAATGTGGAAGAACTGGAACTTGCAGATACCCAATTCAGGGGTTTCGAAGAATCGTGTTCAATCCGTTCAAGCATCTGCGACTTCATTTGGGTAAGTTATCTTCAATTGGCCTGCGAATTTCTCGGAATTTAATCGATTCAAACTCTATCATTGGCATTTCTTGTAATTTTGACATAGATTTTTTAGGGTTCTTTCCAATCCCACCTTGATCACATTCCAATGCGTTTTCTTTTTAGGTATAACCTGCACTGTTCAACTTACTTTCTTTCCCCACCCTCAGAAGTTGTTGCAGTTTCCAAAGGCTTTGGGGTGTAACAGCCCTTCGAATTAAAGCTTCTTCACCTTTTGTGAAGGCCTTCAGACATGGGTTGTAAGGAAAATCAAGAGACAAGCATTCGGGGTCGTTATCAAGCAGTACCTTGGACATGGTATCGAAAGTGAACCTCTGAAATATATCTTGCAAATCCACCTCGGTATGATGTTCAGAAATGGATTCAAGTATCGGTAGAAGCCCGTTTTCCACTTTACTCTATACAACTGTTTCTAGCATATCCTAAAAACAGGGTATGTGGAGAATGACTCACTTGCAAACATCATCAACCCAAATAATTTTGGGCCATTACCTGAACCATTGGTGGCCTTTTATGTAGCACCAGTAGATTTGTTACAAACATTAAATATCTTGACCTTCACCAAATCTTGTATACTGACAAATATTGAGCATTGAAAATGTGGATAGGTCTTGGAAGGTTTGGTTTATTTACATGAACAAGGGGTTATTCATCGGGATATTAAGGGTGCAAATATTTTGACTACTAAAGAGGTAAAGTATTACTACTACATTTCCTGAAATATGAAATTTATGATTCCTTTTTCCAGGGTGTTGTTAAATTGGTGGATTTTGGGGTTTCCATGAAGCTAACAGAGGCACATGTTGATATGCATTTTGTTGTTGGCTCACCTTACTGGATGGCTCCCGAGGTTTTTATTTTTTATTTTTATATATCATGTCATATACTTTTAATTTTTTTATTTTTTTTTCAGTTGATAGAAATGACAGGTGTCTGTAGTGCATCTAATATATGGAGTGTTGGTGACAAACAATACTATAAAGAAAGTTAATTTTTGCCTGGCTACAGATAGTCATCTGAACCTCCTTTTACTGATTATGTTTCTACTCGCTGGTGAGTACTTAATTTTTTTTTCCTAAGAAATTTTTTTTTTAATAATATAAAGTTATGTGAAAAAGGTATCGAGCACCAGAAGTCTTGTTGCAATCTTCTTCATACACTCCTGCCATATGTAGTATTATGTCTTTCTTCTATGAACACACTGGATTATGGCATATCTATGGGACATTATCAATGAACTTCTTATTTTGGAGTACTGTTTATCACAGTAGGTAAGTAATATCCTTTCAAACTTCAATTCTCCTCCTGACTTTCATCCCTGCCACATCTTCAAAGATTACCTTTTTGCACATTTATCTCATACAACTGAATCTGAGTAAATAACAATTTTACCCTTATATTTAGAAACGATAAAGCACCATCTTTCCCACTTAACATATTAAAAGAAACAACGTAAGTTTTCTTGTTGAAATGTCAGATGACCATTTTACCCTTCAGGGATGTGGAAATGACAGAGAAGCTAGATTACTCATCTGTAGCAGCAATACTAAGAGCTTTCATTATAAAAAGTGAAGCTACACGTGTCATGGTTGCAGCTCCTTTAATCGCCTTTGTAACTACCCACATCCTTTATTTAAACTGCTACCAATTTGACTTCTCAGGTGATAATGCTCGAGCGGTTGTATCCTTTATGTTCTTAATTGCTTGTTAATTCATTATGATGATAATTTTATTGCTAATATCTTATTCAGATCATGGTTATAGTTCTGGTACCTTTTTCAGTTTTGAAGATGATCCTTAGGTACAACAACTGCTCATTTGATAATCTCAGATAATTATAGTGATTCATTTTACAAATGTGTAAGTTTGCCCTTTTTGCTTTTTGACTACGTTTACACCCTTTAAATATGATATTATGTATTTATGTTATATTCAAAGTATTAATAACATGTGATGTCTTTGACTAATTAACATTAAATGGGATTGGTTTGTAGATATGTGGGCAGTTGGTGCAATACTTGCTGAACTTTTCACTTTATGCCCGATGTTTCCAGGGGAAAGGTTGCTTTTTATATGAACTTTTCACTTTTTTTTAAGAAACCTTTTATTATATGTACACAATGTTTTTTTTTTCACATAACAAAAGATGAAGTTATTAAAGACGATGAGAGATATTTGGTTTTATGATTGTACAGTGAAATAGATCAGTTGTACAAGATATGATGTGTTCTTGGCACACCTGATTGGACCCTTTTTCCGGATGCAAGGAATGTTGCTTGGTTAATGGATATCAGTTATTCAATGGTTAGTCTGATTTTAATATTTTTGTAATTGCGGATAAGGAGGAGGGTATTTATGTCTTTTCCCTTTGTAGATTATGTCTGCAAATCTTGTTGACCTTATCCCAAATGCAAGCTCGGAAGCTATTAATTTGATCAAGGTAAGTATAATTTTAAGGTTTTTTTTGTGATGTAAAAATTATGCTCGTGGGACCCACTAAGGAGGCCGACAACAGAGCAGTGCTTACAACATCCGTTTTTCTATGTAATGCTTTTTTGTTCATATTATTCGTAAAAATCTTTATTCTTTTCAAGACCATTATATTTTACCATTATATTTGATATGGTGTATTGATATATTTTCGATATCATACCATATTTATTAAAATATTATATATTTATTATATTTTTTTCTTATTCTACAAGCTTTTTAAATTTACAGTTTTTTATATGGTAATTATTATCTTAAATTAGGTATGATTTTATCTATTTTTGTACTTATATTTGACATGGTATATTGATATTATTTTGGATATCATACCATACATAAAACATATTCTAAGTATGGAAATGATATTACATTCCAAAATCTTTATGTCATATCAGCATTAACCAAATTTATATTTCCCTATAAATATAGTGTCAACGATTTTTTATTCCAAATCAAAATTCTCTCTAACTAATTATCTCCTTTCATTGCAGCTAATAGTATTCCATGGCAGCTAACAATGCAGATCAGGTCGTCTTTGATAAGGTTGCTGAAATCAATGCATCCAAAGAGTCTTGGAACATACGTGTTAAAGTCGTCATGCTTTGGAAGCCGACTTATAAAAACAATCATAATATGGTCACAAGCCTAGACATGATTTTAATTAACCAGGAGGTACTGTTTTTACACACTTTATTTTTTAGATTGTCAAATTCTTATGTCAATTTTAAATTCGATTTCTGTTATGCTTTTTTCTTTCCTGGCAGAAAAATATGGATGTTTATCGATTTCAGTTCTTCTCTTTTATTTCTATGTTATTAAATTTGTTGATACTTTATCTTTAAATTTTATTTCTATTTTATTAAATTTTAATTAACAGTATTATATTTTTGTATTTTTAATACTTTTTTTTTACACTTTTTTATCTTTCATTGTCACCTACAGGGAAGTAGAATACAAGCAACAATAAAAAAAATCTTATTCCTGTATTTGAATCCCTATTCGATGAAGGAGCTGTCCGGGAGATCAATAACTTCGCTATGGCTAGCAATGAAGGTGAATACATGCTTGTTCCTCATAAACATAAAATCAATTTCTACAAAACCACAAAAGTTCGTGTATCTACTGATTTTGTTGATACAGTAGATTCTTATCATTTTATCTCTTTCCCAGATTTGCTAGCCAGGAACTTTGACACTCGTGTTGCATTTGGTATGTTGTTATGTTATTAGTTTAACTTATTTCTATACTTCAATTTTTAATGTAATACACATTTGGATTATTATTACTAATTTATTACATTTTGTCACATAGATTTTCTTGGTGAAGTTGTGTCAACTGATCCCATGCGAGTCATTGTTGAGTATGGAAAAGAGAAAAGGTTAATGAATCTGGTTGCTCAGGATTTAAGGTACACATTCGTATTATTATTACACATTCCCCCGTTTATATTTATCTTTCATTAATAACAACCATGCATTTTTAGTGGTACGAAAATTGCAGTCGCTTTGTGGAACAGTTTTGCACTAAAGCTGAATACTTACATTTCACAACATGCTAATGACACTGCTCCTGTTATTATCCTGCTACGTTTGGCCAAACTCAAAATTTGGGGTGGTAAGGATTTTTTTCAACAAATTATCATTTCAACTTCAAAGTAATTACTGACAATATTATTTTACTTTTTATTTGCAGGTCAACCTCAAGTTGGTAATTGTTTGTTTGGGTCTAGATTGCATATAAATGATGATATGCCTCAGATTTTAGAGTTCAAATCAAAGTATATTATTTACCATAGTTAACACATTTATATGGTAAATCATTACTTTTGTTGAATAACCTCGCTTTTTTGTATATGTAGTCTTAATGCTTTGGATACGAATGTTGAGTCTTCTAGACGTACATCCCAGCTCAACTCAGATACTGTTGTCGCTAATCCAGAGGATTACTACCTCCGTTTTCAAATAAAAAACATTGATGAGATTCCTGATTTTAATGAGGTTTACTTAACATTTTTATATAACAGTTTCCGCATTCTATTATTGTTTTGATTTTCTATGTACAATTCATATGAAATAATATTGTAATATGATTCCTTTCAATCCTATATATGAAACAGGAAGTTGGTTTAACCATCATCGCTACTATCATTGGTTTTGATATGGATGATGGTTGGTATTCATTTTATTGTCGTGATTGTTCTAAAAAGTTACTAAAAATGATGATGATGTTGATGTTGGCCCTTTTCACTGTGATGGTTGTGGATTTGTCTCGGATGTAGTTGGAAAGTAAGTCATTATTATCTCTTTGACTATGCATGTATTTTACTTTTTTCATATATTTATTTGTGTATGTCAAGCTAAATATACGTATTATGTTATAACTTTTAGGATTAGGATAGTAGTTCGTGTGCAAGATGAAAGTGGGTCTTCTTTGTTCGTATTGTTTGAGCGTCATGTAAAAGATCTTATTCATCGTGGAAACCAATGGTTGATGGAAAAACTAGCTAAGGTTTGATAAAATATCTCCATTATTTACATTATTGACATATATGATTTTTCTTCTTTAACTTTTCCAACCATTTTATAATGTAAATTAGGATCAAGGGCGACAACAGATACCTGATGAGTTCAAAATCCTTCTAAATAAGAAGTTTGTCTTCAAAGTTCAGATATCCATGTTCAATCTGCAGAACAACTATCGTGCTTACACTGTGCATAAGTTGACTGATGATGAAAGGGTTCTTGCTGAGGTTTTTAAACGGTCACCAAATCATGAACACCATAATATAAATGATAATGGTACTCCTATTAACAAGCCAAATAAGGTTGGTAACTGTCTCATATATTTCCAAACTCAAACCCTATGCGCTCTCTTCAATATATTTTTCTTTCATTTTTCATGAATTTGTGCAAATATGTTATGTTTTGTTTTATATTTTACTTGATCGATTTTTATTATTTTATGTTTTCTACAGGAAAATACTAATTATGTGCATGATGACAATCTTGATGTTGTTGACCTTGAAGCTGTAACACCATCATCCAGTATGGGGAAGCGCCCTATTGAGATTGATGCCAACACCGACTGTTTGGAGTGGTCTTCTTCAAAAACTGGTGTTGTACGGGATACCTTGAAGATCCCAAAGTTGGAAAAGTTGGACTAATATGAAGCTGCCCAGCAAAATTTTACATATCATCTTCAATATGTTTAGAGACATTTTCTTTTTAATCTTTTGTGTGTCGCACTTTTAATTGTCTGTTTATGGATCTTTTGGTAGTTTTTAAAATTTTATTGGGTTGTTATTTGGTGTGAACACGATGATAGAATTGAAAGTTATGACAATTTCAAGTTATTGAACTGTTTTGATTTAATGCATATTTTGTTTCTTTTTCTTTCGTTCATCATTTGATTTTATAAATTTATTATATATATATATATATATATATATATATATATATATATATATATATATATATATATATAAACGAAAATTAATAATTTTTTTATATATGCTAATTCACCTATTTTTATTTGTCTAAATGGAATTTAAATTTTATTTGCATAAATATACATCCTTTACATATGGTAACAGAATAAAATCATAGTGTAAGTATTCAAAATGTATTTTTCTATATTTTATTTATTCCTACCATAATTATATGCATGCTTTACTTTTTACCTAATTTATACCATTCTAATATTCAGTTCCCTAATTTAAAGAGTTAGAATATATATATATATATATATATATATATATATATATATATATATATATATATATATATACACACACACACAAAAAAATTTATATTTTTATTATATATGATATTTCACCTACTTTTATTTGTCAATGTCAAATTTAAATTTTATTTGCATAAATATACATCGTTTGCATATGGTAACAGAATAAAATCATGGAATATGCATTCAAAATCTATTTTTCTATACTGCATTTATTCCCTCCATAATTATATGAAGACTTTATTTTTTACCTAATTTAAACCCAACTAATATTTCATTACTTTATTTAATTATATGCAAAATTTATTTTTTACCTAATTTAAACCCTTCAAATATCCAGTTCGTTATTTAAATTGTTAGAAATCATCATCATCACTATATATATAGAGATATAACCAAGAATGTAAAACTTATCAAACATATTGAAATGAGTGACATTTCAAATGCTTCGGGAAAGAAAAAACCTACAAGGTTTGTTACTAATGTTTCACCCAGCAAAACATCCCCAACAACACCACTGCCTGACATCACAAATGGTAAGATTCATATTTAAGCATTCTGTTTATATTTGAAGTGCTTAAATGTTTATAATGTTCAATTTGTATAACTCATTTCTCTTTACATTTCATTTTGAGTTTTTGATATACATACCATTGTTCCTTAGTGAATACATCATCTTCATCCAACGCTCTAAAAACATCATCACATTCAACATTACAAACAATATCCCACAAAGGTACATTTTCTTATATGTTATGCATCTTTCTTATTACACTTTCGTTTTTATATTTGCTTATCTATTGTACTATTAATAATTTTTAATATTTCTCCCCCGTTTATGATACGAATCTTCATTTCAGAAAATAATTTTTTCATACCACCAAATTGTCGAGTTACTCGAAACCTTTCCGAATTACCTAAGGCAACCCCGTCTCATAACATCATACAACCGAATGTTCAATCCACATTTATTTCCTCAAGATCACCACTTTCACAGCTAACCAATCAAGGTAAAGTATTCTTAATTTCTTTTATATTATATTTACATCCACTTCTTAAATCATATAACGTCAATTTTAACTTCCCAATATATAAACTTTTAACATTTAATTTTTAATACATATATGTCTATAATATCTAATTTCTATAACTACTTTTTTCCTTTAATATCTTATTTAATTTAATGTTTTATATATACTTTTCCTCTTTAGTTCATTCACCCTCTTTAGTTCATTCACCCTTTTCCTCCTTTAATATCTTATTTAAGTAGATGTTAGTAACTACAATGAAGGTGCACATGAATGGTGGGATTATAGAAACAGTACCCTATATTTCTTTAAAGGAAATACGATTGAGTATGTGGTTCCGGCACATCCTTCTCAACAAGTTTTTTCAATCCGTTCTGATTTTGATAAAGTGACTATGCCAAGTAGATATTAGTGATTATATATATTTTAATTTGCATTCGAACATAGTTGTTTTTTTTTGTAATGAACTATTCAAATATTTTATATTACTCTATGATTTATTAGTTTTTTTTATTTATTATTTTAATTGTTATGAGGTTAAAATAGCTATTGTAATGTATGATAATGAAATTAAAATAGCTATGGTAATATACTTTTAATTGTCATGCTTCATATGATGTAATATATGTTTACAATTCTATGTTTTTTATACGCTCCCCGCGTTTAACGCGGGTTATAATCTAGTTTAAATACTAAAATTCCTTAAAAATGTTTTTTCATTTCGCTTGCCAAATCCCATCAACATTATGGTATTTTGGGGAACTTATTAAGTTTTGTGCTTACGGTTTTATGTTTATGGTTTTAGGTACTTCCGGTACGAAATGGAAGGGTCCGCTGTGACTACACAACATCCCCCAGAGTTTTCCGCATTGGCAATTTATGATCTTTACCCTGATATTTAAATAATATATTCACTTTGATCGGTTTTGGAACAACTCATTTGTATGGTTTATTATTTTAAAAATAAAAATTTTACCATGAATTTTTGGGACATTACAGACGTGGTGGTCCGTTGAGTTGACTTTGACCGGTTTGACTTTTGGTTAAACTTTGGTAGATTTAAGTATTTAGCTAAGAGATACTCTTGGTTTGAATTTAGGTGGCTTGTGTTAGTTGTTTATGTTATTGAGATTTTGTTCTTTAGTTCAGGTGAGTCTTCTCGTTGTATTACCTATATCATAGTGTGTGTATGCTAGACCAGTTAGGTCTTATTTGTTGATTGTTGTTATATGTGTATATGAGTTGTTGATAAATCCAGGATTGTTGATAGTCTGCAAGGTTGTTGATAACTCACAAGGTTGTTGTGAGCCTATTGGACTACTTATAGTCCTCATCACTAGGTTGTTGATAACCCCAAGGTTGCTGATAGCTCATAGTTGTTTATTTATGTTGTGTTGTATGTGGTATTTTGGGGAACTCACTAAGCTTTGTGTTTACAGTTGTGGATTAAATGTTTTTCATGTATTTATCGGATTGTGAAGGCAGGACCGTACACACACATCAACAGTTTTATGGTTCGAGATTCCTCATTGTTTTCCTTATAACTCTGATTTCGAATTATGGTTTATGAACAAATGGTTTGACTTGAATGTAGCCTTATAAAAATGGGTGTTTATTCCATTTTAAAAATGAAATTTTATTCTGGATTTTGGGATGTTACAAATTCGTTTTTTATTTCATTGATATTTGATGTCCAACGTCCGTTGATCGACAAGCTTGTTATTATTTTCCTCATGTTCCTACTATTGACAAATCCATGGAAGAATTTTGTGTTTTCGTCCCCATCTATGGTCCATTTGATTCTGCCTTTTTGTTTCAAGTCTAATGCTATCATTCTTTCAAGTTCAAGTATCCTCTGTATTCCATTACTTCTATTCGATAATTCATTATTAGACAGTACTTGGTGTTCTGCAGCATTCTTAAGTGTTGCAACTCTGTCTTCAGTTCAAGTATCTCTTGCTTTTCTTTTTGACGATTCGCTCTCCGCCACTGCTTTATTGCCTCTTTCACATAACTAAGTTTAACAACTAGGTATTTTTCGGCAGTGCCATATCCCACGAAATTCCCCCGGTCTTCAATAATCATTTGGTCAATCCCATTAATTAATAACCATGAATTGAAGAACTTGAATGAAGTTGGGCCAAAATCTGAAGCCTCTTGTTTAAGTGTAATTGGATAGTGATCAAATAGTTCATGGAGATGGCCATCGCAATTACGCCCAGGAATGCAAACATTAAATTAGAACAAACTAGAAACCTATCTAGTTTGCTTAATTTGGCATCAACATGTGTCATGTACGTATATCTCTCACCATCCATGTTAAACTCCTGTAAACCAGCCTCATGTATGAATCAATTGAAGGCAGGTGCACTAGAAGGACAGAAATGTGAGTTGTAACTTTCTTCCTTTCAGTCTCACAACATTTAAATCACCCATTTAAGTAGCTATTAATCAACGGAATGTGGCCCGCAAAGACAATGTATGATTGAACTTGTTAATCAAAAAAATTATATAACTCAACTAAAGTTATGCACAATATTGTTAATCATGGTCAAGATGGTGACACCTACAAATGGGATTGATCTAAAGGAAGTGACTTGCCGAAATAATAACTTTCTTCGCTTTGATTCAAACCATCCATATGGCCTAACAGACTGTCCTTGTAAATCTCCTGCAGTCAAATTTACTCCAAACAATGAAGAGACTCATCCCGAAGACAAAGCTTACAACTTCTTCAATCTCAAAAAACTCAAAAATCTTAGCATTAATTGTGTCATTGAAAAGATTTTCCTAAAAACTTCGGGGACAACCTCTGACAACACAAAGTCCAGATAAAACTTCCGAATGGTGCAAACTGCAAACCATAACGACCAAAAATGTAATTTACTCTAGAGTTTATTCTAAACTAGGTGTAAGACTCGTGTAATACACGGGGTTTTTTTTAAAAAAAATATTAATATATTTTGTTAAGCTGTAACATCCTGTTTAAAATAGGATAATTAATGATGAACCCGGAACCCCGAGAAATAATTTTAATATTATTATTTTATATTATTATAGCCCAAAATCAAATAATAATTAGAAAGGTGTTGGTTTCGGGAAGCCAAATATCAAGATTTGAATCTCCAGGGGTTAAAATGTAATTTTGAGACTTAATTTGTGAGGTTTTCACAAGCCAAGGGGTGTTTGGTATTATTTGGACTTGATTCATAAGGGTTTTCAGAAGGAGGGGTTGAAATGGTAAATTATGTATCAGTTTTGAAAGAAATAATGCAAGGAGGGGCCATTCTTATTATTATGGGATAAATCTTATGGAACCGGGTATATAACCCCAACATCACCGGGTATCAAACCCTAAACCTAATGCAATCTCAGCCGCCACTCTCTCTCTACCTTCATCCTTCCGACTGCCTCCCTTGACCTGTCGAAGCCGGAGAACCATCGTAGCCACCACCATGTCAAGGACCACCTCGCTGCCGGACGTCGTGAACGGCCGTGAGGGAAACGCTGAGGCCGGCAAACGACCACCAATGCCCCACTATTGCATCCGCTGCCATCAAATGCCGCTGTTTCCGTGGTGGCTAAAGAAGAAGAAGATCGACGTT